TTAGGATCAGAGTATAGAGTTCAATTAGCAAGACTTATCAATAACCACTACAGAGGTCAAAAAAAATTGAAGAGTGAACTTATTTTGCAAATAAATGTTTTACCACAGAAAATTTACATAATTCAAACTTAACCACGAAGATAATGAAATAAACCAAAGAAAAACAAACAAACAATAAAAAATGAACTACAACGAGAAAAAAACTTGTCATACATATACAAGTAAGAAAAACATGTAACGAGCGTAAACACTTTTATGATGAACAACGTTATTGTTAACTGACAATAACCATTTGTTTCAAAATATAAAAGATCTATGATGATGATCCTATATCTGCCTGGTTCTACGTTGTAGCAGCTAACAGACTGACTGATGATCATTCAATACAAAGAATAATATAAAAGATATGAAATAATGACAGACAGATTATAAAGAATGATAAAGTATACGGATAAAAATTATAAACAATAACGAGGTAAATGAATCTTTGTTTGCTTTTTAACCGAGTAACAGAAAGAATTTTCAAAATTGCTGCCATTTTATTGTTTCACTGATACTTCATAATTGAACATTGAAAAAATATTGAATAATGTATATAAACTTTTGAATATTAGCAAAACAACAATAATAGTCATAATGGTATTGATAATATTACACAATAATAATGAGAAAAAAAATAATGAAATAATAACATGAAGAAGTTATTCTTTGAAAAGGAAGAAAAAACCACAGCTGAAAAAATCCATCCAGAAAAGAGCTTATGGTACTACTGATAAATTATAAAAGTAGTCTGATGAATATCATTCAATTTGTTTTAAAATTTCGATGTCACAATAGCTATTAACCAATAAGGTATTTTAATAAATCCTGGAAATAGAATAGCTAAATGTTTCCAACCAATTAATTGTAATAATCCTTTAATAGAACGTAAATTTGTAAAATTATAACCATCAAATGATTTTATACCAAATTCTTCAGCTAAATCAGGAGCAAATAAACAATGACCAGAACGTTGAAGTAATTTTTTATTTGATTGTTGTGCTAAACATGCAATGACATCACCAAGTATAGGAGCTGGTATAGCTAAATAAAATTGAGTAGATTGTTAATTGGATGAATATAGTAATTTCATTCAACACAAACTAATTGACTACTAGTATAAAATTGTCCCCAATTAATATATGAATATTTATGTAAGAAAAGTTTTTCAATAGACCCTAACTACTATATATTGTGAGGATGGTCCACAGGCGAAGTTGAGGAAGCTCTAAGAAGCCCAGAAGGAGCCGGACATACTTCATCCAATAAGCTTTTGGAAGAATATTCTAGAAACACTACGTGTAGCTAGCTTTCCTATTGAACAATGCTGATAACTCCATGTGTGCGGATTGGATAACTAGAATGATGATTTCGTTTCTACTAAAAACTATAAATACCTGACAGTTTTGTACCATAATTGACACTGTTTGGAATAACATTTCTTTTACTTGTCTTCTGATTTGTGACTTGGCAGGGTTCTAGCGTTCGAGTGCTCAAGTATTACGCGACAGACTAAGAACCTAAGATCGAGATATTACATATATCTTCATTCGTATGGCATATCTTGTAACATTTTACATATAGTTGATGCTACAATTCTATTGCATTTGCCTCTTTCTTGTCTATAGGACAGACAAATAAGAAAATACACCAATCGACATGGAGGTTCCGATTGAGTTTTATAATAAATAACTTCATGATGTATTAAGCAGTTTTTATGGTAGGATATGTGTTGGGATGATCCTGAAAATTTCTTGTAATAGACATGACGAGCTCAGGAAACATTAAGAAGTGTTTTCAGTCAGTCAGTCAGCTACAACGTAGGACCAGGCACATATATGCATCGGTCCAAGTTGCCATACCTCTTTAGCACAACAAGATGAACACCGGATTCATAGAAGTAATTAATTTAGTGGTGGTAGTATATAAGGAAAGGTTGTATATAAGGATATAGTAGGAAGGAAGAGAGATATGAAGCAATTTTAATATCAAGGTTTAAGGGAAGATAAAAAGTGTATACACCTACGCCATTGTGATCGATTCTGAGCCATGTCACCTAGAGTCTCCAACCATTGGTTACGATAATCACGCGGACCCCAACCAGGTAGTCTGCATCTGCCAACATGGCTCAGGCTAGAAGTTAGTGACTTCAAACACTGATGCCATGTTTTGGTTTGGCCGCCCCTAACTCTCTTCCAACCATCCCCTACACTAGTCATCATAGCGCGTCGTGGTAATCGGTGTTCAGGCAAACGTAACACATGGCCCAACCATCTCAGTCGATGAAGATTCATCACCTCATCAACTGATTTACCATCGTTCCCTAATACCCTGCGTCTAACCTCACTATTACTTACCCGGTGATCCCAGCAGATGCGTGCAATATTTCTAAGGCATCTGTGGCCCGACCGTTGCTGCTACCTTGACGTGGTGGTCGGGCTTGCCTATCGTGATGAAGCAATCGAGCTATGCTGGCTGGAACAATCGTTCCTCAAGGTCCTACCATGCCAGACAGGTCGGTTGAAGAGCGGTGAGACTAAAAGCAGCAAACCCAAGGTCCGAAGGCGAAGTCGTACTGTCGACTGTACAGAGGTGTGACGGCAGTAAGGTGTTTCCTTCAGACAACCAGCATGACAGCGATGCTGCCTTCCCACAAGGAGGGGTGGGGTTAGAAATGGTCGACCCTAAAAATGCACACCTCGCCTTATCCCACGGATATCTGTCTCCGGCGGTAAGGTTTTTTTTTGAAGAACGGAGCTAACACAAAAACTACCCACAAAAAGATCGTGTGTGACCGACCTCAAGCAGTTGTCCCTTGGGCACTGCGGTCACGCTCTCAGGTCATTAAGACCACGTCTAACCCAATTTCCTTTTCAGGTACCCCCAGGAGAACCCTTCCACGGTGTGGGCAACTGGGAATTGATAACTGCCCTCATACCTCTAACAGCACTCAAGACCACTGTATTCATAATCAATCTCCTTCAATTCCTACTATTCCTTCTACCTTGACTTTCAACACTAAACTTCCTGTTCCGGTTTCCTCCTCAAGTGTCACCATGGCCAACGATTCTAGTGCGCGGAACGCTATCCCAGGTCTACTTAAACCTCGCTCCAAACTACACATTGGAGCCTTCAACGTACGTACCCTATGCCAAATCGGTCAACAGGCCTCCTTAGCTAAAACCCTAGAATCTCGTACCATTGATGTATGCTGTGTCTCCGAAATACGTATACAGGATCCCAGTGTGGTCATTCACTTGACCTCACCTCGCCAAAATGGACAGCCAACGAAATGCACCTTCCGTGTATCTGGCGACCCGTTGGCTAGTTCTCGTGGACTTGCAGGTGTAGGCATAACACTTGATACGAGGGCAGAACAGGCACTATTAGAATGGATCCCCGTTAACAGTCGCCTGTGTGCTGTCCGGCTAAATGGCTCCGTAAGAACTCGGAAGGATAGGGACACACGTCGTTGCCTTTTCGTCGTTTCTGCATACGCTCCCACTGACTGCAGCCATGATGAGGTGAAAGATGACTTTTACAGAAAACTCTCTGAGCTTCTTCAGAAAGCTAAGCGCTCAGACATAGTAGTCGTAGCGGGTGACTTTAATGCCCAGGTAGGCAGCTTAAATCAAACAGAAAGACATCTAGGTGGGTGTTTTAGTATTCCGGCTCAACGAACCGATAATGGTGATCGTCTGATGCAACTATGCTCAGACAATCGTTTATTTTTGGCAAGCACTAATTTTAAACATAAGGAGAGACATCGTCTAACATGGCGACCACCTGCACCAAACCAACGATGGACTCAAATAGACTATATTGTCATCAGTCATCGTTGGAGAGGCTCAATAGAAGATTGTCGCTCGTATTGGAATACTTGTTTAGACTCTGATCACGCTTTAATACGAGCGCGCATTTGTCTGCGCCTCAATGGACGCAGGAAAAGTACACTAAGATGACCCATTAAATTTGAACTGGAGGACGAGAAAGCCAAATGGGAATTCCAGAAACCACTGAGTTCACATCTAGGCAGTTCTGTAAACAAGACTGACACAGATGCTGCTTGGAAAGACATACGAACAGCTGTGGAAACAGCAGTTACATCTATTAGTCATTTAAACCATAGGGCTCCAAAAAACCAATGGATTTCTTCTAAGTCTATTTCACTGATGGATTCGCGTAAACTCATCCCATCAGGCTCTGAACATGACGAAGAGTGTAAAGAAATTAGATCTAGGTTAACTAAAAGTCTGAGGAACGATCGTGAGCAGTGGTGGGCAACGAAAGCAAAAGAGATGGAAAAGGCAGCGGCTGTAGGCAACACCAGGCAACTATTCAGACTAATAAAAGAAACCGGAATTAAGAAGTCAAGTGTAAGTGAGACAATCTCGGAAAAAGACGGAACCCTTATCTGCTCTCAACCCAAACGTTTAGAACGATGGGCGGAACACTTTAAGGAGCAGTTTAGCTGGCCTTCAGCTACTGCACAACTACCCACTATTCCTAGAAAACCTGAGTGGAACATTGAAGTAGGCCCCCCAACCCTACTTGAAGTTCAAAAGGCCATAGGTAATCTGAAACGAGGAAGAGCAGCTGGTCCAGATGGATTGGCTCCAGAAGTCTTTAAATATGGTGATCCGGTTTTAGCGATTAGGTTGACTAATATTCTGGCTAAAATCTGGGAGACGGATGTAATCCCATCCGACTGGTCACAATCACTGAAGAAGTGTTTTAGCCAATCAGCGTTTGACTAGAAGTTTTGCTAGAAATATCACGAAAGTGAAAAGTCACATGTAGAGGTTCTGATTGGCTGATTACTATACTGCTACTATGTTTATTAGCATTCCAGAATCTTCAGGAAAACCCAAGGACTTCTAAAATACTATAAAAACCCTATATTTTCTGTACATAAATGGACCTCTGGAGTAAAGTGCTTCTCGTATATTTTGCACTTTTTCTCTCGTGTTCAAGTCGCTGTGTAGATTTCGCTTGGGGTTTACGAGAATAGCTTAGGATCCAAATATAACGTTCAATCAGCAAGACTTATAAATATGAACAAATTTGAGTCAGCAAATATAGTTAGTCAGTTGAAACTTTATAATAATATCTAAACAGCTAGAAAATGGTCAAGCTAGAATTTTTAGTAAGCTAATAATGGTGAAGAAAGTAAGACTGAAATAGACAGTCAGGAAAGGAATTTGAATACAATTTGAAGAATTCTTTCTAACATTACTTAAGTTTTTCCGACTAAGAGAACTTTCAGTAAATTGAGAAGACTAAAGAACAAGTTTACATTCATAACCGGTGACTGTTTTCATGAACTCTACCTCTTTCTGAGTTTGCCAATTAGAGTATTCATATAATTCATATAATCAATTTACATAGCTTATGATAGGAATACAGTTATTTGATTATTGGCGAAGTAAAAGCTCAGTAGTTAATGTTTAACTTTAAAATACTTCATCATAATTTCAAATCAGGCTCTAACTGCTTCGATTTGCGCAACCAGGTAGCACCACAAGCCATCACAATTAAATTGTGACTAGAACCCAAACATATAAATATGTACTTGGTAAATGAGACATCTTAAATATTGTTACCTTTTTAGCTGGAGTTCTTTCGGTGCTACTGTCTAACAATTAACTGAAAGTTTATGGATTTGTAGGATTGATGTGAATAGAGAAACAAAGAAGCCATGACAGAAAACGGAAGCTATTTTCGGGGACGTTATTTTACTTTATTCAAAGTTTGTGAAATAATAACATTTAGTTGTATCCTTAAAATATTCTTTAAACCAAAAGCTTTCGGTGGACTTATTATTCACTGATATATCCTTTTCTGTTCCAAAGCTATCGTAATTTAAATGTAACTTTTGTACCGTATTTTTCTACTATAATGCCCAATTTGGACATAATTGTACTTTCCTAATTGTTTGTGCGATGTGGTTGTGTTAGTCATCTACTTATTCATGTATCTTTTCACACTAATCTGAGTTGGGAATCAAGATTGAAACGAGTAGTATTAAAGTTGACTTATCTCCTCTCTCGCTTGTCAACTAATCAGGTAGTAGAATATTTTTCGTCTCTATCCAAGGCCGTTAGTTTCAATTCAGACTCACGCATTTCTAACCTCGAAGTTAAACTAGTTAACCTTAACCTAGATCGATACAAGCTGTCTTCTGTATATTATTTGGTAGACAGATCAAGGACGTAACAAGGATATATTACTTAGATTTATAAACATTAACATGGTTTGTATCGATATTCAATTGGTTGACAGTTGAATGTCCAAGCTAATAAATTACAGCTATATTTAGTGATAGAGATCTCAATGTCAATTGGAGTAGCAGTATTCAAGTCCAAATTATAGATAGTTAAATCCATTCTTTCTATGGGGCATAATTTATATGTTTAGATGGAATGAAGTGTGTTATTGAATATTCAAGGGTAATTGATTCAGATCTATCGTAATCCATTTTGGTTTACACAGTTGATTAATTACTGAAGAAACCATTCTCTTCTAAATGGTTGGTTAAGAAAGAGAAGTCCTAAACCTACCACTAAGAGACATCAAATGATTCCTAATGAATTTAAATTCATGTTATATATCACTACAGGAATCAGATATGTCATTAATGACCTATTCCCATTGAAAAGTAACCCAAATTCCTTACATTTATTCAATAAATGAAAAAGATTCGATGAAGAAAGTATATTTTACGTAATTCAATTTTGGTGCTTAAATGACTGAAAAATTAAAATAAGAACCAAGCTAATCGCCATTTTATTTAGTTGTGCAATCCCATATTGCCAAACTGTAGTTATCATAAGATCAATCAATAATTATCAATAAATTATTGGATATTTCAACAGTTGATGGTCACATTGACCCTACATTCATATCAGTAATGATAATTTTGTTCAGAAAAATATGCACAAATTTGTGCAGAAAACTATCAACTTAAATGAAAGTTAGTTATATAAAAGATATTCAATATTATCTATAAGCAAAATAATTGCAATTAAACGAATCTAAGATGTATCTATTCATGGAACTATCGAAATCCAATTCCCAGTTGTTATATTGACTTTAGTTGTTACATCCTACTTATTAGTCAGATAGGTGTAATGGCTAGAAAGTCTATTGCCAAAAAAGTCTGTTATACTTTAGGACTGATGGCGCTTCAAATCTTCATTAACTGATGTGATCTGGAAACTTGCAAAGTTGTCCGAACCACCATCTACTTCAATGCACAATGGAAGCAAGGTACAGGATTAGGTTTTAAGAAAACTGAGGGTGTTTAAAATAACATAGCGTCATCAGTTCATAAAGTCAGTGACTGTTAAACTAAGGTTTATCGGTGGGTGCAGAGTACCTTACTAGAGTGTGAGCGATAATCATAAACAATGGATCGAAAACTTCATGCGGAATAACTCCAAACTGTTAGCAGTCGATCAGACAAATCTTTTCTCCTTTCACTGGATCATACATAGCAATGTTTCTCTCACATTCTCCCATAAGTTTATTCTTTTCAAATCATTTTGGCTTTAGCCAAAATGGAGATGAGACAATAAGTGAAGTTCGAAAACAGAATAGGATGATGTGGTGCTAATTATAGAAATTAAGAAGAGTTTTCATAAGATTCAAATCACTTGAAAATAGATACAGAATATAGATATACATTTTCACTTAGACAGGTTGTAATGAAACCATGTTCTTCATGCAAGTTTCCCTGTGAGTAAAGTTTACGGGTACAGTCAAAAAAGGGTTTGTACTATCCCGTTTTTGTAACTGATTGGACAGAAACTTTAGTAATTTAGATAAACTCCATAACATTTATTTTTATAATAAATGTGTATTTGTAGTGTGTCATCTGAAGTTCGTTTGGTTCCAATATCTATGTAGTGGAATTCGCCTTGTACTTTATGTTCCATAGTAAAATCTTTATCATTTTTTACTTTGTTAAACAGGTTGAGTAAGCACATAGAATCCTTATGACTGTTGAAAACAAGAAATGCCATCAATATATAGACAATAAAGTGCAGTTTTTTCGACTGAGTGCTTAAGCTTCAAATCTTCCAGGTTCCTCATAAGTATATCAGCCGGAATCGTATCCAGGAGGCTACCCGTGGAGACTATCAATTATGTGGTACAACATACTACTGAACCGGTAGTGTGTAATCTTGGTATACATGGACATGAACTGTTTTAATTAATTAAATGGGAAAAGAATGAGTTCAGGATATTGACATACAATTTCAGCCGTTTCTTCCAGAGGGAAAATTGTGAAGAGATGAGACGTCGAAAGATACCATAAATTTAACGAAAACATTTAGCTGTCAAGCTTCTGTACAAATGCGAAACTATCCTTCAGACTGTAAGGAGCTAATTTTTTTGCAGATTGGTTCTAAACACCTTGTGATCGAGGAGGCAAGTTTGTGGAAAGGTAACTTAATCATGAAAATATTGGCGTCATTGAGACGTTAGGTTTGTGTGTTGTTATTATTATTATTTTATTTCAATAGAACAATGAGTTGGTTTTCCATATCAACTCCGTCTTCTCATTCTTCTATGGAAGTTTATAAAATGGATTAATTGCTTTATATTATTTTACAAGTCTATTTGTTATGTTGTCTTAGCCATACTGATTCTTATTTTTATGTACATCAAAATCATCCATTCATTCGTCGGATTTTCTATTCACTTATTTGACTAAACTTATGTACACTCTTTAAATTTTGTCTGTTATCACTAGACGATCCTATTCTGTTTTCGGACGTCACTTAACGTCTTACCTCCGCCCCTATTCTATTCTGCCTCAATTGTTGTTTTGGTTTTATTCAAAATCATAAAGGGAACCAATTCCATCAATTTCATTTCTCTATCTTCGATCCTTTTTACGATCATAGTCACTACTATCACATTGATTTCTTTAGGGTATTCAATTTATGAGGTTGATTCTGTTGTAATATGACGGGATGGGAATTCGGATAGATGAGTATTGTGCCAGCCTCTAGATTATGAATAACTACCCCACTTATCAGCAATATTTTATTTTCAAGTTAGTTAGCTTTTAGGAGGTAATTTTGTATAAATTGTGGGCTGTTCAAATCACAAACTGACATTAACATGACTTGAGGATTCTACGTTTAATATTGTGTGAGGTTGCAGATGAGCACTGCTGTGGAGTCCAGAAACAGAGCGAATAATCATTTAGCTAACGTTCAAATAATTTCTAAATGCATTCAATAAGAAGCTTGAAAATAATTCATAATACAAAATTTACCCATTCTTAAACTGGCATCATATCCAAACAGTTTTAATGGATTACCACTTTCATAGGCTGAAACAACTGATTCTGTTTGTATAAGTCCAGGTATAATACTGACAACACTAATATTTGCATTACGTTGTTTCAAATCACGTGCCATTTCTTGACTAATTCGATCCAAAGATGATTTGCCTTGATTAATATAGAATAGAACATGAATATGTTCGTAACAGAAAAATGATGAATAATTAATATAATTGATATAAATCTTAAGAATTTAGTTAAAGAGGTTGTGCAAAGATTGGTTTGAATTGTAGGTAGTATTCGTTACAGATTTAAATGAGCTGTGATACCAATAAGAACCAATATAGCACTGGACAGCTATCTCGTCCTAGTGTACAACTCAATACTCCGAAATGACAATCCTACTGGGCATCTAACCCAACTCATAAAGGTCTCGTGGTAAGTGAATAACGACAAGGATCACTTGGTCGACCTCCAAAGTCACAACTTCTTACTTACTTACTTACTTACTTACTTACTTACTTACTTACTTACTTACTCACAACTTCAGTTTCAATAAATTTGCTACAAAGCGCGACGATTATCAATTTCTGAAGAATACAATCTGTGAATTAATGCTAATCTCAACAAAACCCTTTCAAATAAACTATTACATTATTTTAATAGTTGAGATCAAGAGTCAATTGAAGCTAGACCACCATGGAAAATATGGAATCATTGGACGGTTGTTTCGTCCTATTGTGGAACTCCTCAGCAGTGCGCATTCACGATCCGGCTCTAGCTTCAATTGACTCATGACCTCAACTATTAAAATTACCATGATATCCATCAAAACCCCTTCTAATATTATATTATTGACCTAAAGCTATTAGATCTTATGTATTGTTTAAAAAAACCATATAATCATGACACAAAAACATTGTATTATTTATCTGTGTCACATTTAAAACTTAGGACAAGACATATGAAAGACCAACGTTGTTTTTAGGCAAAACTTAATCAGCCACAAATCATAGATTACCTTGAATGGTTTGTATTTCCTATATATATTCTAATTGTATAATTGTTAAGTAACTAGATTATATATATTTATATTCCCTTTATCATAAGCTCTAATCTGGTCTGCTTGTATATAAACCATGTATGCCTGTTATATATGATTCATACAGTGGGAGCTGATATTGGTGTTCTTCGGACTGAACAGGCAGGGCTAGACGAAAACGACCAATAAAAACTGTAAGCTTCTCGTACCAGTCAACGCGTCATTGGTTTGGCACAGTGCTAAGATTGTATACATCGTATTCTGATTAGCAATCATATCACGTGGTGATTAACCGGTCAAAAGAAACAACACAAGTAGTAATATGAGATGAAATTTTAAAGTAGGAATATGTACGGTAAGCAAAGATGGATAGTGGCTAGCAGTGGAATCCAGGACGCGCATTTCGTCCTATTTGGGACTCGTCAGCCGGGTATACCTGCATCTCAGAGTTGATGTTCACTCTGGGACTCGAACCCAGTACCTTTCGCTTCAAACGCTATAGCGTAATCCATTCAGCCACTGAGTCCTGATGGAGACTGACCAGTTGCAGTCCTAACACATCGGTGGGAAGTTTCAAAACAAACAATACTAAATGAATTTAGAAATATATACATCTAAAATGTTGGTATCCAATTCAATTTAATTTTTGTTCAGATTTTTCTAATGAACTGAGTTTCTCACACATATACACATTACTATGTCAACTGAACATGGATCCTTCCGCAGTGCGCATCCACGATGACGCATGCAGGAATCGGACCCAGGACCCATGATTCCGCGCGAATGCCTAACCTCTAGACCACTGAGTCGGCACCCGACGGTGTTAATGCCTAACTTCAATCGATCGGAGGAGGTTAATGGCTTTGTAATATTTTTTATTATCACCATTGATGTAAATAAGTGAAAATAATGAATGTTTTCCCCTATGCTAACAATAGACATAAAGATAGACTTATGTGATATTGAAAACCAATTCAGATGAATAAACAATGCACTAGAAAAACAAAAGTTGAATTTATTCTAAGTTTTCAGTATCTGCGATGATAAGAGATGAAGAAAAAGAACGAATAAAAATTTAAAGTTGAATAATACGATTACAGTAGAATTTACTAAATAGATCGAATGCGGTCGCACTGAGCGGCATGGAATAGAATACGCACCCTCAAGTTTATAAATATATCATGTTGGTGGGTATGAACCAGTACAAAAATTTAACGTCCATAACCTTATGATCATTACAGTCAACGATCAAAAACTGTGAAATATTTGCACACTTTTTAAAATGATTTTTAAGATAATTTATTCTCTGAAGAAGTGGCTTACACTGAGTCACGAAACACCAAGAAAATCTTTTTTTTCTACTCACTGGATATTGCATTATTTTTAAAACAAAAACCTACTTCAACCAATATGCTGTATAAATTATTGACAAACTAATAACAGTCTATTGTTGATTACCTGCACAAAATGCCACATTAAATATCCTTGTAATTCCACCGAAACTAGAAATATTTACAATTAATCCTGTAGGTAATGGTTTATTATGAACAAGTGGAGTTGTTATACTACTATTGGAATGATTACATGCATTTTCATTATTCTTTGTTAAATCCATTGACTCTTCACGACATTTCATCATCATACGTGTAGCTAATACATTACATATATATGCATTACGAAGTCCAACTCGATTAATTAGATCCCATTCTTCATTTGGACGAAGTTTAGACTCCCAATATGGTGAATTATTATTATCCAATAAATAATCAGTTGCACTAAATGCACAATTTACAAATATATCTAAACGACCATATTGCTCTTTATGTATACGGGAAAATAGTCCTGCAACTTGTGTATCATCAGAATGATCCACAGCAACAGAAATAGCTTTCTATAAAATAAGGAAATGAAAATAAGAAAAAAATTAAATCTCTTACTTGTAATAACATTATTTAGTAAAGAAAATTCACTTAGTATTGTTTGTTTGAATCTTCCCATTAATGCTTTAGGACTGCAACCGGTCAGTCTCTAATTAGCATATGTGCATACTGTGCGTGTTGCTTCGATATAGCCTAAATTCACAAGCATGGTAAGCAAAGATGGATAGTGGCTAGCAGTGGAATCCAGGACGCGCGTTTCGTCCTATTTGGGACTCATCAGCTGGATGTACCCGCATCTAAGAGTTGATGTTCACTCTGGTAAAGAAAAAATATTACAAAATGTTGTACATATCACAAAACAATATAAATACCATTAAGATACTTTTTTTCAGAAAAAGCTGAAGTACACTGATATGGCACATTATTGTTATTATTATTATCAGAAGGGGTTTTGTGGAGATTTCAGTATTTTCATAGTTGAAAGCATGAGTCAATTGAAGCTAAACCTACCGGTTAAGTGCTCTGGCGCGAGACTGGTAGGTCCTGAGTTCGATTCTCGAGAGGCAAGATCGTGGATGCGCAATGCCGAGGAGTTCCACAATAGGACGAAACGGCCGTCCAGTGCTTCCAGGTTTTCCTTGGTGGTCTAGCTTCAATTGACTTATGCTTTCAACATTATTATTAATCAGAAAGAATGAAACAAAATAGGGAAACAAATAACTCCCAACATAGGAAGTAGTATCTGTTACAGAGATGTGTCGGTTTTAATTGCTCTACTTTGTATTAACATAACAAGAGGAAATCAACTAAATAAAAAAGAAAACGAATATAAAACGATAGTCTGAAAAGATTAACAATAGAATAAAAAACAGGATCAGTAAATGAAATGCTATTATGACCAGTTGTGTAATGTATTGTCTACAGTTTCCTAACCATAGACTGAGACTATCTAATGCATCTCAACAAAGAAGTCTAAGTGTCTCTCAACAGTTCAATCCAGCAGTGAATTTTTATACAAACTAATACTGTGTTCATCTGACCATACTAACAACACTTCTCTAACTTTTTCTCATTCTAACTATCGTTGTGCATTTCCTAATTAACTTGCCTGTTTTATCCTAATATTTATTTCAATGTTTTACTACTGATGTGCCTTTCCTCACATCCCACTCCAGGGCTAAACAATAGGTAAGATGATGGTATACAGAGCACGATATTGCGTAAGGCCAATTATCCACTTAGACAAACATACCAATTCAACTTATCAGCGAAACGAAACCAAAAATGGATCAACCTATACTATATAAAAGGAATATTAGAATAAGAATAAAGAAAATTCAACGAAGATTTTCTTTTAGATGAAATCATTCACTGAAGCTGTACATTCGTATACGGCAAATATATGTCTATAGAAAGATAGAAAAGATTGCATCATAGAGTGATTCGAGACTCCAATTATCAAAATATGTTACGTAATAGTCTGGGGTGTAGAAAAGAATAAGAGTGTAGAAATAATTAACGGATCATAGTTTAAAGCATGAGCCAATTGAAGTCAGACCACCATGGAAAACCTGGAAGCACTGGACGGCCGTTTCGTCCTATTATGGGACTCCTCAGCGGATCAGAAAGATAATTGTAGATTAGTTCAAAGGAAGTTTCCTTCAGGGCGACGTGTTCAGAGTTGATTAGATGCTCGTGTATTGAACTGGTAACTGCTCGGTTATGTTTCATAATTCTGACCCGTGTCGAAGTGGTGACTGTCTCGCATTCTCCTTTTAAAAGCCACTCCGGATAATGTTCTGAAATGTGTTTGGAAAGTGATCGCTTTGTGCGACTAATGTAACCTGTAGCACAGTAGCAGGTAAATTTTTAAATGAACATCGACGTGGTTCAAAGAGTAAATTTAAACTTAGCTCATCCATGAATGGTAGATCGCACTGAGAAGACAATAAGGAGCGTAGCTGAAAAAGGTCTTATTGAGGGATTTTGAAAACCATTTTTTCAAGAATTAGATAGATGTATCTTCTTTACATTCGATATTCATACAAACTTTTCTTTTGAACTGTTGGTGCTTTTTCAAGATATTTTAATTTCCTATTGATGAATCTAGATGGATAACCATTTCTGGTGAGTAGCTGTTGAAGTTGAAGTAGTTCGTCACTAGAAGATATTCGCCTGATCCTTGACGATAAAGAGTGCATTAAGTTTATCTTTCTACTCAATGGGACCCAGCTACAGAAATTCGTATACTGACCATTCCAGGTAGGTTTTCTATTTTTTATAGATCTCCGTAAAAAACCGTCTGACCTTTTCGACGAGACATCGAGAAAATGAAATTCCCTATTGCTCTCAGCTTCCAATGTGAATTGAATTGTATATGACAATTATTGAATCGATTCAAAATTTCATTGATGTCCATATACTCTTCACAAATAATGAAGGTATCATCCATATAATCTATTATATAGGTGAAATCTTCCAACTATTGATCAAAATACAGTATTTTTCAGCTTGGCCATGAAACAATCAGCCAACAGGGGCCTAGTGGTGAACCCATCGCAACTCCCTCGGTTTGTCTATAGAAATCATTATTAATTCTGAATTGCACACTGAGAGTACATCATAGAAGTAGCTCATTCAGATATTTTGGGATGCAAATATCAAGGTTATTTTTAATATAGTCACATAAAAAATGTAGTTTCTGGGAGTGAAATATTTGTAAAGAAAAAGTTATATCCAATTAAATTATTCATATTGATATTTCTAATTGAGTCGACAAAGTCAAATGAATAGAGTTGAATCTACTGATGTGATTCCTGATGGGTTGTAAAATTTCATCTAACCATTTAGCAATCAAATGGTACGGAGAGTTGTTCATATCAAGTGTAGGACGTAGGGGAACATTCTTATGAACTTTCGGGAGTCCGTATAGACTCAGTATACTTGAACCTGATGGCTTAAGATGTTCATAGAAGTCACAATTGATAATAAACTCATCTTCTTTAGGATTTAGTTGACATCTGTTCTATTTTCTCGGTCGCATCTTTTTGAAAGGTTTCTTTAGAGCGTCTGACAGCATCAGATAATATTGAGGATAGATTGGTGACATAGTCATGACGATCCATAAGGATGATTCCTGTACCCCTATCTGGGCTACACAGCACTAAATCCTGATTTCTCAGAAGATCGAATAATTGAGACTTATGTTCTCTTGTGAGTAGCTATTTAGTTGTAGGTATTGTATTTAAATATTGATTACAGCAATCTACAAGAGTTTTTCCGAAATGTTCATAACCCTTATTAGATACGGGAGTAAAGTCACCTGTCTGACGAATGAGGCTTTCATACACGGTTTTAGCGTCGCATTCATTAGTATTAATCGACGTACTACAGAATTTAGGACCAAGTAATAATGCTTGTAGCCGAATAATCTGTAATGTTATACTAGAGTAATTGACCTATATGTTTTTCTTTTTTTCTTCATATCTGTTAAGCGAACAATTAACTTTCGTAATGCTGAGCCGCCAATTGTTTTAAACCTCTTATTCTTCTCTGATCCACTGATTATTACGCGACCTCATTTGATATTAAGAGTCTTCAATCACTTTATCATGCAATCTTTTCTATACTTCTATAGACATACATTTGCTGTACGATTATACGAATGTACAGCTTCAGTAAATGATTTCATCCAATAGAAAATCTTGGCTGAATTCTCTTCATTTTTTTGGTGAAATATGAGAAATAGTAACGAGATTATTGAAGCCCTTTGAGCTAGGTATGATAGATAAACCAATAAAATCACTTCGATGGATCTTGTGCGAAACGAGGGATGAAACAACAAAAGAAAAACCGAACATAACCTACGAAATAAACTTTTCCAATTGCAATAAACTATATCAGACAAAGAGCACACCCTCTTTATTTCCGATCGTATTAACATTAAATAGCGGTCAATCGCGATATCTTTGGTTATATAAATGTAAATAGACAATTTCGGAAACATATTTGACTGGGAGATTGTTGAAATCTTGGATAGAGAGAATACTAGAAACACTAGAGAATTTTTAGAAGCTTGACACTCAGTTCTATCAACAACATATTAAAATTGATTCGAGTTATCAACCAGTCAGAAAAATCATAGACAAATGTAGAACCAAGAATCAGGTCAGAGGGAGATACAATCAAAATAAAGAGGTTGATAATGACAGGTTAGACCTCAACACCAACCCATCAAGATCGAGATCGAAGGGGCACGCTTTTAGTCATAAATGTAGAAAGTCGAGTACTTAACTTCTACCTGAAGTTTGTGTTGATGATGTTGCTCAGAATAACAGTGAAAGCTCCGTGACCAAAACATCCTACTCAGAAAATGAAACTTTACCAAAATCATTAACATGAGCTACAAATCTTTTATATCATCTAAAAATCATGTGGAAATATATTGAACTTAGTATATTCATTCCTAAGTCACACAAAACATTTTAATTTGTAACCATGTGGTGAAATATTCGACACTCTTGGAGGATACATTTTTTATGAATAATGATTAGAAATCAGAGCAGCTAACTGATGTGCTCTTATATAAAATATTTTCAATTTTCATTGACAAATCTTTAACGGATAAAGAAACAGGATTCTATTTTATAACAATAATCCATATTAAAAATGAGTTAACACTTAAATAACTTTTTATAGACGCTTTGAATGACGAGATTCTTCTGCTGTGTTGTATATGGTTAGGTAATATTAACTTATTGATTTTCAAACGGCATTTATCTTGACGCCTTATGGTGGATAGCATACGAGTAGTTTGAAAAATAAGTATAAACTAAACGACCAGTTCATTGAATTACTAAATAATGAAATGAAACGTGTAGGAACATACAGACTACTTGTTCGTTATTTAAGAGATTATTATAATCTACAATTGGAAACTTTGAGTGATATGGCACGAAATTCAGTTATGATAGTACATATGTACTCATTGATAAAAATTTCCTGAATCTCATACTTCCACTATATCTTTCATTTACTGATTTTTATTCGTTCCCAAACGTGCTACTTATTGGTGACAATAAATGTTGTGATTAGTTTAATCCAGTAATATTTGTCAAGAATTGACATTCATTAGGATAATTTTGGAGACCAGATGCCACTGGACGGTTGTTTCATCCCACTGAAAAGCTGCTTTAACAGTATGAGATGTTTTCCTTATAATTCCAACGGTAATGGTTAGTTGACTTTCATTGCGCACTGATAAATTGACTGTAAGAATCCTTTACGGCAAACGTTATGTGAAAAATGTTAAAACGACTGCGAAACTTGAATAAAAACACTATTTTTCGAAACTTACTCCGCCTGATGCATTAATAATATGGGCAGTATCACGAAGACTAACTCCTCCTTTACCATTTTCTGCTGAAACAGTTCTTCCAGTAAGGTAAACGGTAGCTCCTGCTTTACCAAGGCCGATAGCTATACCTTGGCCGACACCGCGACTAGCTCCTGTAACCACACAAACATAACCAGAGAGGTCTGAAGGCATTTGAATATTTATTGTGCTGATTCGTTGAAACGTTATGATGATCTGAGCACTAACTTTAGCCTGATTGATATGCAAATAATATTTAAGCTTTGCAGTATAGGATTTAGTCCGTTGATACACAAACCTGAAATAGATTTGAACGATAAAGTATTCAAGTTTGAATAAGAAACAGAAACTCACTAAGATGGTAATAACAGGAAAAATTAACTATTACTAACTATTACTATTACTATGAATGAGGGTAAATTTCAGGCACTTTTAAAATAAACTATTTTTCTGCAAAATGTAAACAAATAATTATTTCCGTTAATTTATACGATAAAGTCACAACTCTAGGTTTATTGTACACATACCCCAGTGATGTCACTTTTTCTCTGGGATCAATTAACTTTTCGAGTTGGAATATTTTTGCATGCACTTTTTTTCCAGTATTAATCCTCAGGAATTCGTTTAAGTAGTACGTTTGGTTTTCTTAACCACCTAGGAACCAAATTTTTCCTTCGTAGCTAAACAGAGAGTACATTTCGAAATTGAAGGTAAGTATCTTCCTAAGAATTTACCAGAGTTTCATATGAGTGTGATATGTTGGAAATATACTAAGCTACAACAAGAAGTGTCGTTCGATTGCGCACTTTAGCAGCAGTACAAACTGTTGATAATATTCTAAAATGTCTTAAGAATAAATGACAGAAATTACTGATCAGACTGAGAGGGAGCGTAGCTCCAACATCTTATCCTTTTACCACACCTAATCTTTCTGTTACTAATTCTAATACTCTAGAGTTTATTTTGAAATAATTTTATCTAGCTATGTAAATGTGGTGTGGTAACTTGAAGCGATGCATATATATCAAGTTCTGTGTTGAGTGGTGGTGTGAATAGTAGTTAGTTAACGAGGGACAGAAACAATTTCTTCATTTCGATGTAAAATGAAGAATCGTGTAATGTTAACTGCAAAAGAATTAATTCTATTAAAAACCTCTTAAAGTTTCAAAGTTTGGTCATTGGACTGCTAAATAAAGACAAAAATAAAGTAAAACATCCAAACAAAGCAGAATTAAGAACTGCTAAGTGCTGAGCCGACTGAATCTTTACTCGCATGATGGTTATTTGGGGGGGTGAACATACCCCAGCAACTCAACAGCTGTTTCCTTTGACTTGGAGAGAGTAGTTTAACTCTATCGACTCTGAAGATGTATGTAGGTACTAAACAGGTACACTTTGATGTTAAAACAACACTACTCAGGTTTAGAAATTTTTTGTAAAAGATTAAGGAGAATTTTTATATCTGAAATGATGACAAGTTGTGTTTGCCAAGGATATCTGATAATTTTATTAGTCAAATTCTTCACAAACAAACCGACCCAAGTAACTATGTTTGTAGCATGTCTTTTTGGGATTACCGGTTTACCATTAGTTGGTCAGTAAAAGTATTCATGATCCAGTATGTCAAACTTCATATCAGTACAGGGAGAGGAAATCAACATCACATCAAAATGAGTCAAATAATACTCATGCTATTGGAAGCTAGACATAGAGAGTATAGTTCGAAATGGATGCATAAAGCCAAGTACTAAGGTATGAAATAGAATCAAAGCTTTACAGTCTTAAGGAAAATGTAAAAAAGAATCTATCTGCGCGACTGCCACTGACTTTTGATCAGTATCAACTTATTATCTTGCAAATACAGACCAGAAAACCACATATTCTAACAAAGTTTAATTTACTGATCAGTTATTATATGAGATGATGACGTGTCTGTGATAGCTTTTAAGCCCAAGCATCAGTTCCCCCAGATACGCACACAACCATCCATATTGTATCCCATATATAAAACAAACAAGTAGATTGTGGGTAAACGTTTAGGCTAATATAATATTTATTTAAAAACCGCCGTTCTCAATTCAATCAAGGAGTTAGAAACCATATCGATAAAATTACGTCTTTGTTTAAAAGCATTACTGAATTAAAATTGGTAGAGATGGGGACACATAGAACCTTGGAATTTAGAACGGATTAAAAAGCGAATGACACGTGAAATAATTTCTCCTAAGCGTCTATAAAATTTTATTGTGTTTTTGTCAATGTTTTGTACATTAGTATGTAATTTCTTTACGTTTGACTAGAGGTATTGTCTTTGATTTCACATCGCCCGAGAGCTTATCTTAATAATAGATTTGTGGGGCGGCAATTACACCATATCATTGAATATCGTCTTTGAGTTCTAAAAACCGAAAAACCAATCATCAAAAATAGGAGCGTAATCAACAAACGCTCAGTATTCTATGAATGAAATTAGTAGCGAATTTTCAGAAGTCGTACAGGTGCACTGTGATAGGTATAATTTGAACAATTTCTAGTATATATTATTCACAACTGATAACATTTAGAATTAAAGAGCTCTCTCCTTGGCATTCTTAAATCTAAGAGTTTTCTATACAAGACTTTCCTCGAATTCTCAGTATCCCAAAAACTATAGTTTTTGTACAGGTATACCAGTACAGAAAAGCCATTTCACTAAGATCCCTAGGTCTTGAGAACTTTTGTAATCATCCAAAAAATAGTGCATATGACAAAAGAGTATTATATTATTAGGTTAAGAACTGGAACGATCGATGAGTAGTGAACTACTCATCATCATGATGTAATATTTAAGACGATTTTACATGAACTCGAAGGTAAGTCTACTTTATGTGGTTTAATTACATTCATAAAAAGGAGTTTCAATTAGATATGGTTTGATGAGGTGTGCAATTGGATAAATTTAACTGGAATTATTAACGTTACTAGACTTAGGGAAAGACAAAACGGCGGGTTACAGAGGACAAAGCAATCACCATTGAAATGAAGCAGATAAACAAGGCTTAGTACGAACAGCAACGGAAATATGTGTAAATGGATACGATCAACCTAGCTTCCTAGATTGACTTCTATTGTCTCAGCCAGTAAATATGGAATCGGCGAAGAAAATGGGTTTGATTCATTCTTCACATTGTCGATTAGTTCCATTTCTAGTTTGGCAAAGATATGTTGGAATTTCACATGTTTGAACTGTTAATTCATAAATAACTGTGCTTTCTTTCTTGACGAGCGCAGACGATATCTGTTATGCCAAAGAAGTTAGTTAGATGTGATAAAGTTATATATGTATGTTTTTTTCGATTTCCTTTGTGTGCTAGAACCTTTACACTCTTTATCCCCATTAAGCTGATACACATGCCTAATTTTACATGAACTGGTGCTTTCACATCCGTCATCATACAACTCGTATCATTTTAACCTAAAAACAGCGAGGCCAAATTATGCCTTGAATAAACTAATTAAGCCTAGAATGTTTTCTGAGGCTATCTTAGGACCATACAAAACCCTAAAATAGGGCATCTTTAGCGGTGAAGACTTAAGCGGTCGATAAAGTTGGATGTATTCTTCAGTAGTTCAGTGCAGGGTCATGGCTTGATGAAAATGGTTTTATCAGTGAGAATTCACTATTTGATGAACCTCCGACGGGCCCCCTTTAAACAACTCTTCGTGCCTGAGCTTCTAATGTAGGTTCTTGTCGCACTCGTATGGTCCCAAAATAACTCTTTAACAGTCGATTGAATTCTGTACGTCATTCATAGCGAAGACTCATATGAAAGCAGACGAAAACGCATATTCTTGAGGTACCCTTGCTCGTTTCCTTACCCACACCTCCGAAAACTGAAGATCTAGAGCCCTCCAAGGAAGATCATCACAGGAAACAAGCGATCCTAATTGGTGTTGAAGATACATTACCCACTGCAAGTCATCTATCAGTCTCAAAAGACCCTAAAGAATCCTCAAAGTAAGACTACTGATACCAAGACTGACCCTCACGAAAATGCTTCCACCAGCGTGTATTAGTGAGAATAGTAGGAAGTGGATTTGGGTCTCTTTTCTACACCAAACGTTTGATTGTACGTATTAGCACAGAAGTTGGTCACCTTTTTGTGATTTGGAAACGGTCGTTTATATAACACTTCAGCGACATCCTGAGAGATGATACTTCGTTAGCTCTGATGAAGGTGGATCACGAGTAGGTGTGTTGAACATACAACGTGAATCATCAGGATTTACTGACCAATATCGTTATTTTCCTGGAAGGTCTGAGCAAGACATTGTGAAAATTCCTGAGAAAAGGCATTCCTGAAGTGGAAAAGCTGATATGGGATGCCAATCAGAAGTGGTCAAAGAGAACTTGTGTTTGCCGGCATTGACTCTTCAAATGCTATCGTGGTTATCAAAACCCCTATTGTGCACAACTTCGGCCACGTCAATGGAAGGGTTGAATAAAATATGCAACGCAAACAATACTCAGTTGTTAGGAATATCTGAAACATGAGCGACTTCTCGAATTACTAACAGAAGCTGGCAATATCCGGAATGTCTTTACTATGCAACGACAGGAAGACAGAAATGGGAGACGGAACCGACCTGTACTTATAATCTTGCTTGGTAGCGCATCATGTGTACACCCAAGAGTTTATCAATTTTGATGAATCCGTATAATGCTCAGTGAGATTTTTTAACACCTTGAGATATCTGGTTCCGGCCATCTACAGGAAACCTACTACTGACACCGAGCACGATAATCGTATTATCCAGCTCCATTCGTCTTAGGTACAATCACATCTCGATTTTAGGAAACTTCAACCTTCCTAAAGCTAACTTCACTGAACACACGTATATTGGAGGTGATAACTCTATTGCAGTTTGTTTTTCTCAACCTCATCGGAGATTTGTGATTATTCAAAGAAGTGGAGTTAGCAACTCTGTAGAGAAACGGCCGGACATCGTCGTCCTTAGACTGCGTCTCCAAAAACGGAAAATACCTATTTGGCAAACCTCTCAATACTGGCTCTCTTGGGAAAGAGCAATCACACTACCATAGCTTTCAATCTTGTCAGAAAATCCGAGTCGAAACACCTTACTAACAGCAAGTGTTTGAATTTCAAACGTTTGGACGTGTCAGACTACCCTGTCAATCTACAATAGTCGAACTGGTAAAGTTCAGCCTCAACTTGAGGCGAACGCTCACTGGGATTTTTTGCTGTGCACGATCTCACGTACCATGAACTAGCCTGTCCCATAAACGGTCTTCAAAAGTTACAAGCAACGTACAGTTATAAAGAATTACAATCTTCGAATGCCAAAACTCAAAATCTACCACTGGTTGGAATACAAACGAGCTAATAACAACAGCACGTGTATGCAGCTCAAACATGCGAGAAACTAACTCTTAGAGGCGATATGAAAAAACAGGTTTCAGTATCAGATCAAGTTGGTCGTTAAATGTGTCTCCGATACTTAGTCCATCATGCACTTTCTAATTAACAAGCCGAATCCAGAATATTGCAGTCGTTGGGTCCTGGTGGCCTGACTAACAACGACGTTGATGCTTTTGAGCCCCTAGCAGGGCAGTATTTTAAAACATTTCAACCTCTAAATACAAATAACATCAACAATAACTCCACCTCCAACTCATTGGTAGCCTCAGGAATGAACTCCATCACCTACTTAGTGTGTCAGAAATTGATACGTTTAATCAGAAACATCACTCCCGACCCGGATGTGATTCACTCCGCAATACTGAGAGGTTGTTAGGCTAAATACATCAATGCGTGTGAAAATCATATATCATACCCATCATACTCCTAGCTATGGTTTCATTAGTCATGTAACGACATCCACATTTTTCCGCCAAGTTTTTTTGCAGTTGTTATATTCTTCATCAACGTAAATGTTATCCTGGCTTGTGCATGTGTTGCATTATAACAATAATACTAATAATAATTTATTCTCAAATAACAGTTTGTTATGTGAGGCATACCAGTTTATAAGCAAGATCAAATTGTTACAGAAGTTACAACTTTCACTGTATTGAAAGACTCAACTGGGTTGATATCTTATAAGATGTGAGTGTGGGTGGTTTTAGCAAGAAACGTATTGTCAATATCACAATTGGCGCGCTTTATGAAGGTCTCGCTGTGATGTGCAACTGATAGTCGAGAATAGATCTGTGGAATGTTGGGGACTTCTAGAGACCACAACCTTATGTCCCTCTGGAATACATGAGGCTTTGGTAATGGCGCAGGATGAGGTCATTCGTTCTGTCTGTTTTTGATGGCGTGTCTCAAGGGGGCTGAAAAAGGGTGTGAGAAAAAGGAAGGACGAGAAGCAGAGCAAACAGTGTTCAAGGAGGAATAGCTAAGGTATGACCACTTAGTCTATTTCCTTGCTATTAAGGTACTTATTAAGCAAGAGCATTCTGATATTTTAAAGAAAATAAGTGTAAACAAGGTATGAGTGGATAAGGAACTATATAAATGAAGGTGGTTCAGAAGGGAGCTGAACGTATGGGATTATGTGTAATTATAAAATCTAGTGCTGAAAGCAGTGTTGTGGTACAAATGGCTGTATCCCATCTTTGTTGAAGCTATTTTAGCCCTTTTTGTAGAATTTATAGGGTCCCCAGCAGGCTTCGTTTTGAGTGAATTGTCTGGTTTGCATGTAACAGGATTACTCGGTAGGAAGTGAAACCGATTCAGCGTTTTAAACATGATTTTAAAAAAGGCATTTTGCACCAATAATATTTTGCAAGAATATCGGCTCTACGTCATTTGAATTCGACAATTATTTGAGCCAACTTTAATGCTTTCCACAAAACCCATCATCGTCGTTATTGCTATGCGTATATGGGTTTATTAATTGGGCTATTAATTGCCGAAAGTGATGTTGAGCATAGTTGTTACGGCGGAAATGTCAATATTCGGTCCTAACGCATTACTAACAAACCATAATTTATTCTATTAGACCAGACTGTGTACTTCTATGTAACGTACGAAGCGTGTTTGAGTGACTCATAATAAAGTGTATGAGAACAAAAACTTTGTTTTTAATCTCAAAAGTCCTCGTTTAAGAAAGAACAAATTATGTCAAAAATACAAAATATCTCAAACGGTACAGTCTGTGCTATACAGTCAAGAACTTCTCTAACACAAACTGGAATGCCAAACAACAAAGGGAATAGCCAATAAACAGGTGTTTAATACCTGGAATAAACAAAAATATGTTAGACAAGGTCTGGTCAGATAACCATTCATAGGGATTTCAGCAAACTGAACCGCGCCTTGACCCGGAGCTTAGACAAACACGACGTTATTATCAACAGTCCGTCAACGCGCACCAAAAAAATTAAGTAACAAATGGTTGTAGTAGATGTCGAGTCGCAGCTGACCATGATCACCAATACAGGAAAACTACGTGTCAGTCGCTAGATTTGGCCCCTCCAAAGGCCAAATATCAAAAGGCAGTTGAAGATTGTAGTAAGATGTATTTGTTAGCGATCTTGTGGTATCGAAATAGTACTGAGATCATACCAAAGTCCATAAGCGAGGCTAATGAGCGTACAAGAGTTCGTGCAAAGTCACAAACAACGGAAAAGTGTTTCTTGGTACCCCTGAACAAACAGGTATAGTAAAACAATCATTAGCATAGTTGGTTATAATAATAACAATGAATGAAGGTTCAAATACGTGACAGAGGAGAGAGATGAATAGACAAAGATCTTTTGACGTCCGTTACAGTGCAATTTTGACCCTCAAAAACTCAACTGCAGGTGGCTGAGACCCCGTCAACAAGATTAAAAGGGGCCAGAGGTCACCGTCGAAATTACTGAACAGCCAAATGACTTATAGAATCATAAGCACTCTATGATATTACTTTATATTCTTACATGGGCTCAATACAAACACAAAGCATGAAAGAAACACCCAGAAAGTGGAGGCATAACGTAGCGGGTTGGACTGTAGTCAAACC